ATTCATTTGGTTCAGCTGTGTTGCAGTAGGAATGCACATAAAACCTGCACGACAGTAGATCTTAAGGACCATGGTAGGAGATCCCTGTCTATGTGATCCTCATGAGCCAAATATTGGTATTTTCAGTAGCAAAATGTGTTACTATAAAGACCATGACTGGTCTGCAGATATGCAGTCTAAACAGAAAAACCCAGGTATGGACTGTATATATTTCTTTCCAACCAATAATTTCTTAGCTACCGTATCTTGATGTGATCCCACCATACAGTGTCCCAGTTCCATCCATAACCCTGTTTCCAATTCCCCAAATACTCAGGTTTGCTGCTTCTAACATTCACATCTGAGGTCATTATTCAAATAAAGAATTATTCCCTTTTTATTGGTGAAATATGAAGCCTGCGTGGCCAATACTTCTTAAGATATTAATGATGTTTGATTACTGATTACTGATTACATATGACATATTACATATATTGTCACAAACTGATAAAGTTGGATGTCTAATCAGATTTTACTGGTGGGCTTTTGCTTGAAGGGCTTTTTTATGCAGGGCTTTCCTTTTAATTTATTTTTGCCTCTTATTAGATTCAAACCTGAAATTGACAAACCTTAGGATATTTCTTCATAGCTAGTTTGAAATACTGTGTTTTTCTTCTACTGTCAAAAACTCATGCTGACATTGTGTCAAAACAGAAAATTGTGACATTGCACACAATTACACATACACAAACCTATCCGTTTTTCACAATCCTTATGAGCACATAGCAATGACTTCCATTTCTATGGCTGAACCTTGAACACACCCGAAAACCAAGAAAAGAGTTTAAAAATGTGACGAACAAGAAAATATCCTCACTCTTCCCACAATAATCTCACTTTCTGATAGAATACAAAAAAAATCTCCCTCTCAGCTGCAAGTACAATTATACACATCATCATTTAGGAACATAAGACCAACATGCAGGATCTTTAAGGATTTATTGCTTGATTTCTTTCAAATGGTTGCAAATGGATACTGGTTCAATTTATTCTTAGCATAATATATAGCATTAATATTTGCAGTAGTTCATTGCTCCTTAGTTGTAGGCAAGGGTCTGGTCAATCCAGCTGCGCAGGTAGGACACGCGGGAGTATACTGCTGGGGCATACACATTGCAGTTGGAGGTGCCCCAAGACACAATACCTGTAAGGTACCAGACGCCACTGCTTTCACACACCAGAGGGCCACCAGAGTCACCCTGAAACAACAAAAATAGTTCATAAACGTAAGATCATTGAACTTGCATAGCAGGAATACTTCCTTTGAGCACTATGTTTTCTTTGGCTTTTTGCAGATTGTGGGCTGGCTGATTTCAAAAACAGGAAAATGTGTAGCAAGAGCACAGTTGCTGATTCATAAGATAAATTAGGCACTGATACGGAGAAATGCAAACCAATTTCCTGATAATGTGAAGAACAGGATACTGAATTCAAACTGAAATTTGACACAGGTTGCAAATGTATTTTGCAGATATATTCTAAACATAGAATGATTCTTCAAAACGTATATGTTACTTGAACCATGCTTGGCTATTGAAATGCATGTTACCTGGCAGGAGGAAACTCCAGAGGCACCAGCACAGATCATGACATCAGTAATTCTGTTGTAACCCCAATAATTTTTGCACTGGTCAGGGCTGAGCAGAGGCAGAGAGGTCTGCTGCAGGTAACGAGGGCTTGCTAAAAACGCAGAAAAACCAACAATCTTTTCAAATCTTTCACATTTTTTTTCTCCCCATGCACTTGTATCATTGTCTTTATTGATGGCTGTAGAAATACATTAGGTTATAATGTAGAGGGGCTCACTTACAAGTTTGTCCAGTTCTACCCCATCCAGTGGTGACACATCTGGTTCCTGAGGGGATGCTGCTGCTGGATGAGAGCAAGCACACTGGAGACACACGGGAGTTGAACTGTGCTGGGGAGGAGAGCCTCAGAAGTGTGATATCATAGTTGAAGGTGTTAGAGTTGTAGTAAGGGTGGGTGATGGCCTTGAAGGGTTAGGAGAAGAGACATTTCATGCAACATTAAATACTTGCAAACAATTATATAGACAAGAGCTTTCAATAAAAAGATGAAAGTTTCAAGTGCATAACAGTTTTCCTTACCCTAGAGATGGTCTTGACTTGAATGGCCTCGCTGTTGTAGTTCCGATCATGCTCACCAAGGATCACCCGGTGGTATGATGGACTAAGGGTTTGAAAGATCATCTTAATTATAACTTTGCTTTTATTAATCTGCTTTCAATAGCTCTAATGTGGGATGTATCTAGAAACTTACGACACACGACAGTGGGCAGCTGTAACAACCCAATACTGGTTGATCAGTGATCCTCCACAGAAGTGAAATCCGCTGCCATCCTGTTTAAAAGACTGCCTCCTTTAGTGATTTTCTTCAAGCATAAAGTTTGTGTTTGCATGTCTCTAAAAGATTTGCTGTATTTGTAAAGACGTAGCCACTTACCTGAAGAGAAACCTGCCAGGGCCATGAACCGGACACAGCATTTTCACCATTTACAATCTTGTTGTATCCACTAACCTGGGGCTTAATGGAAGGCACGCCACACCCTGAAGCCCAAAGTCAAAATACACCATAGCAACATTCTAGTGCCAAACCACATGTTAATGCTGAATCATAACAGGGGGTAATTATTGGATTTTGTGGCCATAATTTTATTTGATATGTAGATTGTCAAATTATGTTAAAATCCAACATTTTCCACCAGACTTCTTTTTTAACTCTAGATAAAAAGCAAAAATGATGATTTAGTGGAACTCACCCAGTGTGGAGGCCACAAGTGCAAAACAGCTAATGACCAAGAACATAACTGTGGCCAGACTTTGATTCAAGTCCCTGTCTGGTCACTTTGCATCATGCTGGCATTTATAGGTGTAACTCACACAACTGACCCTGACTTCTGTGAGTAGCCATTAGTTTAAACCCCACCCCAACCTTGTTCGGCCAGTCCCTGCATGAGAAAAGACCACCTGCTGATAAGCAACTTAAATAATCTAAAGGTACATATAAACAAGAAAAACGATACCATAAAATTGTATCTAGTTCGACTAAACACAGCAGAGTTGTGCTTCTTTGCTCCTACCGGAACTTACTCATGTGAAACTAGCCTCTCAGTTTTAAACCACACACATACACAGAGGAAACTCGGTTTATAAAAGCATCCTTCATATGTTCACAGGAACTTTGCTTTACCACATTTGTAAATACCTTTTGTGATAAAGGATCTTAGATTAAAAAGATAATTGAGTTTTGTGGTGGGCTTACAGGAAGACATTTTGCAAGATTGACGGTAGGGGCATGACATTATATAACTATTTGTTAAATAGAAATTTGTTTTTCTGAGAATTAATTACATTCTTAAATGGCAAGAAGGAGGAAAAATAAACAGGGTTGTCAAAGGTGAACTTTATTCATTTGAAGGTATAGAATTACATATCCAAGACTGAAGAAAACCTTTTAAGTTTTAGATTCTAAATGTTATTGTATTTTTTTTTTTATTGCTTAATGACACAAAGTACTACATTCGCACTAACTGGTATTCTAAGAAGAAACTCAAGCAAAATGAGCTGAACATGAAACTTCCTTGCTACCATTCTACCTGTGGTGCAAACTGACAATCACACCATGACCTTGGTGAAAAAATGTGTCAGCCTCCTGCTTCATTGGGGAAAGATAGGTGGTGAAAAATGAGGGATTATGGTACTAATTAAGGTAATACTGGAACAATACCTGTTATAATACCCACAGGGGTTAAAACTGGGTCACCTTTTAGAAGAGTGATGACACCGAACATAACAGAATGGTTCATATAAAATAAAACAGAATAGACAAAATAAATAAAGGTAACAGTAAGTCGGTTTATAAAAGCATCCTTCATATGTTCACAGGAACTTTGTTTTGCCACATCTTTAAATACCTTTTGTGATAAGGGATCTTAGATTGAAAAGATAATTGTGTTAAGTTTTGTGGTGGGCTTACAGGAAGACATTCTGCAAGATTGACGGTAGGGGCATGACATTATATAATGCTACGTTCACACCGGACGCAGCAGGCGTGGCAGAAGCAGCGAGTTTACATGCAAAGTCAATGGTTTATGCGCGTCAAAGTGCAGCAAAAGGTCCTGCAACGCGTTTTGAGCAGCAGGCGCAGCGAGTCTGAGCAGCTGAAGCAGCGCGTTGGGTGGTTTAAACGCGCTGCTGCCCGAGATGGAAAAATTTAACTTTTGCTGCTCGACGCGCCGTCCGTCAACCAATCAGAGAAGCTGATCTGGGAGCTGGCCGTGAGACAGACACATCGCTGATGATACAGAGCGCTGTGATCACTCCTCTGAAACAGTTTATTGACGCATAAATTAACTTAAAATGCAGAAACCTGCTGGCAAAATATGTTCGCTTTTATTATCCTGGTGCCTACAGTTTAGATTATTTAGATGAAAAACATCTACCAACCACCGCGGTGAACCGCAAGGAGGCGACCCGGTCAGAGGCTCCTGTTGAAGGGATTCCTACTGTCGGCGCACCACTGTTATGTGGGGGTCTGAGCGACTCTGACAGAAATAATATCGGAAGGCAGGATTGTAATCTGGATGAACTAACTGCATTTATTAAGTTTTCAGGTGGACTTTCTCACTTTAAAACATATTAAAACTACTTTATTCCCACTGATCACAGCAAATATAGCTGCAAGGCAGAGAAAAGATAGTGAAGCTCCGCCCAACGCACGTCAGACCCACTTTTGCACTGCGCAGCGAGAGCAGCAAAGCTGTTGCAGCCGCGCGTCAGATCTAAACTGGTACAAGCAGCAAAAATGAAACAGCAGACGCGATTTTGCTGCTCTTGCTGCGTCCGGTGTGAACGTAGCATAACTATTTATTAATTAGGAATTTGTTTTTCTGAGAATTAATTATATATTTAAATGGCAAGAAAGAGAAAAAATAATCAGGGTTGTCAAAGGTGAACTTTATTCATTGTACAGTAAGTATACAATTACATATCCAAGACTGAAGAAAACCTTTTAAGTTTTAGATTCTAAATTTTATTGTAATTTTTTTTATTGCATAGTGACACAAAGTACTACATTCCCACTAACTGGAAAACAAGTAAATATTTTCAAACATTTAGATTTAAAAACTGAGAAACCCAACCTGTTACTTGCTTATGAATTTAACCCCTTTATCTTTCCACCTCCTAAAAAAATCCATTTCTAAAGATTGCTTTTAAGTGATGATTTATTATTAAGCAGGGACTTTATGTCTTTAATTAAATCTTAATATAGATAGAACCATTCTATGTACCTCACTTATGGGTTTGTTTGAAAATGCAGTTAACAAGCAGCATCATGACACTGAAGCAAGTCTGTGGGTCAGGGATAAAATTGTGGAGGCTTTTAGAAAAAGATGAAGCCATCACAGAAACACTATTACTGGCTTCACAAATGTCATAGAGTAATCGTTTATCCATCTGATGGTATTTTAAGATAAAATATTCTTCAATTCTTGCTCTGTATTCTGCTACAAGTCTGGGAATAAGAAACTCAGGCAAGATGAGATGAACATGGAACTTCCTTGCTAACACGCGGTAACACGTGGTGCAAACTGACACTTAATCACACCATGACCTTGGTGAAAAAATATGTCAGCCTCATGCTTCATTGGGGAAAGATAGGTGGTGAAAAATGAGTCAGGATGGTACTAATTGAGGTAATACTGGAACAATACCTGTTATAATATGCAAAGGGATTAAAACTGGGTCACCTTTCAGAAGAGTGATGACACCGAACATAACACAATGGTTCATATAAAATAAAACAGAATGGACAAAAGCTGAATCGTCAGAACAATCACAAAACCTTTTGACATTACTTGCAAAAGGCTTTTAACATTGGCTTGTAATGAACCTGGTTCAGCAAATTCTTAATGAAGGATTCTGATTCGGGGAAGAAAATGGTAGACTTTTACTTCAACTTATTGGTATGTGCTACTTTGTGTTTGTCTATCAAAAAACAACATAACAGTTTTTCAGCCTGTGTTAGAAAGTAAGCAAGTTTAAAGTCTTTTTGTGAGTTACTATCGTTATTGTACAGTGATATGTTTTTACATTTTTTTAACACTAGCCTTGGAAATCCACTAGACAAAAATTAAATCAGTTTTTATGTGTGGTCGATTTACCCAAAAGACATTGTTAAATGGCAGATGCATGTGGTCAAGCTGGGATGAGTAATCTTTTGAGTCTTTACATTGCTTATATTTAGTCAACCTCCTCAATTGTTGGACCAGAGGAGGAACCAGCTCCAGCTCCCCCAGGGAAGCCACCAGGCATCCCCCCTGGCATTCCTCCTGGCATCCCCCCCTGGTAAAGCTTCGAGATGATGGGGTTGCAGACCTTCTCCAGCTCTTTCTGCTGGTGATCGTACTCCTCCTTCTCAGCCGTCTGTGAAAAAAAAAATCAGGAGGGGATAACTAAGTTGCAAGAGCTGAATCATAGATTGAAGTTGTTAAATGACCATTTCAGCATCTCTGCTATAAGTCTCTGAATACTCAGCTTTCTCAAATGTAAAACTCTAGTTTTGAGTTATCAAAGTCAACATTTAAGGATTATGGATATCTACCTGGTTTCTGTCCAGCCAGGCAATCACTTCATTGCACTTGTCTATGATAGCCTTTTTATCCTCTGGGCTGATCTTGTCTTGGAGCTTCTCGTCCTCCACTGTGCTCTTCATGTTGAAGGCCAGAGACTCAAGAGAATTTTTTGCTGTAATTTTGTCTCTCTGGGCTTCATCTTCAGATCTGAACTGCTCTGCTTCCTGCACCATGCGCTCAATGTCCTCTTTGCTCAGTCGACCTGCAAAAGAATCAAATATGAATCTTGCTTTAGTCCCTTAAAAACATCCTCTTGTGAACAGTTCTTTATTTGCAAAATGTTATACAACCTTTGTCATTGGTGATGGTGATTTTATTCTCCTTCCCAGTGCTTTTGTCGACCGCAGACACATTAAGAATGCCATTAGCATCGATGTCAAAGGTCACCTCGATCTGGGGAACTCCTCTTGGGGCAGGTGGAATGCCGGTCAATTCAAATTTTCCTAAGATATTATTATCTTTGGTCATGGCTCTTTCTCCTTCATAAACCTAAAAACAAATTTTGATGTTAAATTCAATCAATCAATGAATCACTTCAATTCTACGGCACATTGCAACCAAAGCGTGTCCTCTTACAGATTTAAATTATTCAGATAATGAAAGCTATAAGACAAAAATAGATAAAAATAACACATATTGAAGTTTTAAACAGGAATGACTGGCTTGTTTAAGGTCTTTCCATAATTTCTTTATTTGATAAAAGCCTGGACTTTGACTTCTACTTCGAAACCTCGAAATATTGTCTGAGTCCTTCAGAGGTGGCTTGACATGCTATATATTATCTATTGATTGTCATTACTAAAAGTAAGTAATTACACATTTTACTACGCATTACTTTAAGTGGGCTGAAGCTTAAGAGGACAAAATAATCAGCCAGACACTCCCCCTAATGTCTGTCTGTTAGAATACGTTGTTCTGTCAATATTGTTTAGTTTTCCCAATCCTAAAGCAGCAAGAGCATATGGCAAGCCACACAATATATTTTTGTGTTCTTCTTTTGAAATGATTTAATTAAATAATTTCTTGGTCAACATGTTTCTTGAGAAACAAAAGATAAGTATTTGCACTTATTTTGCTTAGCCTTAGTTTTTGGCTTAAAAATAGCTTATAAACCATTTAAAATTATTTTAAATTTAATATCCAGTCTTGAATGCTTTAGATGTCATTCTAGCCTCTTCTTAAACTAACAGGATAAAATAAAGAGAGCAGTCAACTACTAAAATGGATACACACAGTTCTTACTTTTCTTTACCCTTTATTTCCTCATTTGTTGATAATGGCTGTGATTTGTTGAATCTATCCAGAATGACAGAATTCAATGAATTTGTTTCTGATTTGTTCAGTCTGTTTTTATATTGGACCATGGTATGTTTCTTTTTTTTTATTTTTAATCAGTTCATTACATACGTTGGTTCTCACTTTTGACATGGGGTTGGTTTGGATGTTTTTTTCCTCTCAATGACAGACCATCAGCTGAAACCTGTTTGCTGTTATTTTCATCAGTATTTGATATTGTCTGATCAGATGTTGATGAAAAGGCCAAACAGCACAATTTTTATAACTCTTATTTTTCTATGATTTACCTGAATAAGAACACCGGGTTGGTTGTCTGAGTAGGTGGTAAAAGTCTGGGTTTGTTTGGTTGGGATAGTAGTGTTCCTTTTGATAAGGACAGTCATCACTCCTCCAGCTGTTTCAATTCCCAGGGAGAGGGGTGTGACGTCCAGCAGCAGCAGGTCCTGTACATTCTCAGACTTATCACCAGCCAGGATGGCAGCCTGTACAGCTGTGGGTTTCCAAATAATGAATTCATGATTACAAAAAACGTTTTTATTTGCACCCATTTACAATTGAACAAGAGATAGTGTGATACATTTTATTGAGACCTACCTGCCCCGTAAGCAACGGCCTCATCAGGATTGATGCTCTTGTTTAAGTCACGACCATTAAACAAGTCTTGCAGAAGCTTTTGGATCTTTGGAATACGTGTGGAACCACCCACTAGAACAATATCATGGATCTGGCCTTTATCCATCTTGGCATCCCTCAGGGCCTTTTCCACAGGCTCAAGGGTTCCTCGGAACAGGTCTGCATTGAGCTCTTCAAAACGAGCCCTGGTGATTGAGGTGTAGAAATCTGTTCCCTCATACAGTGAGTCAATCTCAATGCTGGCCTGGGTGCTGCTGGAGAGGGTGCGCTTGGCTCGCTCACACGCTGTACGCAGACGACGTACAGCTCGCTTGTTGTTGATGATGTCCTTTTTGAATTTGCGTTTGAACTCTGCAATAAAGTGGTTAACCATGCGGTTGTCAAAGTCCTCCCCTCCCAAATGTGTGTCCCCCGCTGTGGCCTTGACCTCAAAGATGCCATCCTCAATAGTCAGGATTGAGACATCAAAAGTTCCACCTCCAAGGTCAAAGATGAGGACATTACGCTCACCCCCAACCTTAGGAAAATGGATGAAAATTCATAAAAAAGAAGCACATAAAAAAACAAGACATTAGCATTTTAGCTGCTTGGTTGTTGGATACCTTTTTGTCCAATCCATATGCAATGGCAGCAGCTGTGGGTTCATTGATGATTCGAAGCACATTGAGACCAGAGATGGTTCCTGCATCCTTGGTGGCTTGACGCTGAGAGTCACTGAAGTAAGCTGGGACTGTGATGACAGCATTGGTCACAGGCTAAATAGATTGGGGGGAAAAATCAGTAATTGAAAAACTTATTCCGTGCTTAGTTTTTTTTTTTCTCACTGCAAGTCTTGTTGTTGAATTTAGCTTTAGCTGTAATAAGTGCATTAAGCGCATACCTTGCCAAGATAAGCTTCAGAAATCTCCTTCATTTTGGTTAAAACCATGGAAGAAATCTCCTCAGGATAGAAGGTCTTGATCTCCCCCTTGTATTCAACCTCTACCTTAGGTTTTGAGGAGTCATTTATAACCTTGAAGGGCCAGTGTTTCATGTCAGATTGCACCACAGGATCGTCAAACTTGCGACCAATTAGGCGCTTAGCATCTGTAGTTTATTCAACAACAATACAAGAGAAGCTTCACTGTGTGTAAAGACATTAAATAGCAGCCTTTTCTCATTTCAAACAAACTGATTTATAAAAATTGAGATGTGAAATTTCTCTAATCCCTCTGATTGTGGGTTTTGCATAATGTTTACCAAATACTGTGTTGGTTGGATTCATGGCCACTTGGTTCTTCGCAGCATCTCCAATAAGCCTCTCTGTGTCGGTGAAGGCCACATAACTTGGTGTGGTCCTGTTTCCTTGGTCATTAGCAATGATCTCCACTTTGCCATGCTGGAAGATCCCCACACATGAATATGTGGTACCGAGATCAATGCCCACTGCTGGTCCTTTAGACATCTTTGAAGGACAAAATAGGGAACATTTAGTATTACTGCTCAAACCTCACAATAATGGATGTGGGGTTTAACACTCCAAGTTATTGGGTGGAGTCTTTATTTTTTTTTTTGTACTTAGGTCTTAAGAATCATTGTAGTATCATAAAAAAAAAATGAATGTACTCTGTAAATCAGTAGAATACCAGATATTTTGATCAGTAATTCTGTTGACTTGCCGGATTTCTTATTTAAGTTTTGCTTTCTGCATTTTTCAGTCTGGTGCCTGTTCAATTTTGGATAAATACATTTTTCTTTAGTGTAATTGACCTTTTCGAGGACACCAACTGACATAAGTATTTAATCACAAACAAAGGGACTTTACAATTCTGATGTTGAATTCTTGTTGTTTTGCTGCTGTTAATAGTTATTTGCTCGAGGTCTTAGATTTTCTCTTATCTCCTGCTTCTCTTTGTTCTTTTTGGAATGCTACAGGGGCTAGAATGAAAAAAGCAGAAAAGATTCCAAATCTACCAAAAACTTAAAAGAACATTTTTCCAAAACCAGAAGCTCTGGACTATTGAGTTACATGGAAGAAGAGCAAAGACATGAAATGTGCAGTTCACTGTGTGTACCGATGACTAATACTTCCTTTTTTATATGGTTAATACAAGAAGTAGCACAGAAGCACAAGTAAAGTGGTGTGCTTGTGCACCACTTGTCCACTTGTGCAACAAATCCACTTATTTAATATGCTGTTGTGGTCTAAATGTGTTCTCTTTTTTACTGTATTTGCATGCACAGTATGGATAGATTAACCCACTGTTTTGAATAGCCTGTCATACCTTTCTCCTCTTATTAAACTCGCATGGATGCTGCCTTTATCTACACCTTACTAGAGAATTTCATGAAAAAAAATGTATTTAGGGCTTCTTTGCTATAAAGTTCCAAATCCCAGCAAAGAGTATTCTTCCCAGAGGACTTGTCCATGTACAGTAGACAACGATTCTTTTCTACCAGGCAGTGGTGAAAGCTAATTATGGTTAAGCCAAACGTTTTGGTATAGAAACCTGTCTGAACAGCAAAAATATGAGCTGGCTTATGTAGTTAAAATCCCCACTAAAATGATCGATGCCTAAGGTCTTCAGTCCATCTGTCACTCTATGGTAAGTTAGTGCTAAAGACTGCACAAGCAACTCTTATTGGTGCAAGTCACAATCTACATTGTGAGTATGAGTTGTTTTCTCTAAGCAGGAGATGCGTCCTGGAGAATTATAGATTAAATCCATTTAAAAATTGCTTTGTCCAATTTTCATTAAATAATCAATTGTTCAGAAGATGTGTATTTGCACATAATTGTCATTCAACGAGCTTGAACCAACTGTCTTTTACTGTTTATATTTGTTGATTAAGTATATATACTGTTCTGTTCTATTATTGAGCCACCAATATCGCTTTTATACTAATCTTACAATAAACTATTTTTGTTATTCATGTATATTCCAAAAATTAAACAGTTGGGCTAAACATTTCAATGTTCTTTTGAGCAAAAAAACAAAAAAAAAAGCAACAAAAAAACCCCATAAGAAATCCATTGCCTTATGGTTTTTGTAGCTTGCTTATTTCTTTAAAGTATAATTCTTATATATTATGTGTCAGAGACTCAGAGGGCTGCACCCATCCAAATGAGGACCATTTTTAGAACAGAAAAATGTCAGGGTGTCATGTGGAAACCAGCGGTAAAAAAAAAAAAATTGCCTAACTGAATTTGCCAGGTTCAGTTTTATTTTCTTTTGTAAACTGCAGTTTGAAGGCATGGAGTCACAACATGTTATTGAATTAAAAGTTGTGTAACACAGAGCAGAAAGAAATGCTGACATAATGATTCTATGACTCGCGACAGACCCACAACCAAAATTTCTTGTCTGTAAACAAAACTGATTTTTGTTGCATAACTTTACATTTTCTCTGACGTTCATTTTGATTGTTGTCATGCCATTGCTTGACAGAGATCATGCAAACAGGCCTTATTTCAGTACCTTTTACCTTACCTGCAGGCTTTCAAAGCAGTAAGCAAGACAAATTATAAAGCAAGAGCAAAAGAGCAATGCCTCCTATATATGCAGTTACCTTGTGAAGTTCAAGGAGTGCGGTTACTGAATTAAGGTGGAACTTTATTTACAACACGGCCCTCTGAGCTCCTCTTCGCACCTTCTTCTCCTGGCAGGCAGCTTGCGAGTGTCCCTGCTCACACATGTTTATAAAGGTTAGTCCAGACAGTGCCCACTGTGGGTGTCAGATGACCCAACCAAGGAAAGTTCTAGGCCCATGTTTCTGCTAACTGGCAGGGTTTACTTGAATGAAAGCTCGCTATTCTTATCTCTGCAGAAGTTTGTAAAGTTAGAGGGGGGTACCAAACCAAGAAAATATTAAAATTGCAGGGCTTTGTGTAAAAGATGCAATCAACTAACTGTTGCCATTTTCAACTTGATGGGAAATTTTGTTTAAAAGCAGCCTATTCTTTAAAGACAGACAGCTAATCTAAGTCATGTTTCAGCTCACATGCAGGCAGGAAAGTGAATGGAGTACAGCGTTTCTAATGAAGTTTTTTTTTTTTATGCTTTTACAAGTATCAGTGATTCTAAGTAAAAAAACAAAAAACAAAACAAATTAAAACATATTGTGACAGCAACAAAGTTCCACAATTTTACATTGTTGTTTTTTTTTATTGTTTTTCATAATGTTCCAAATTAGTTGTAATTCAATTGAAAGTCATCTCTTTGTGCGCTTTTTCAATTTTGTTATGTTTGTTATGTTTTGAGAACATCATTTTTGTTGTAGTTTTTCCTTGTTAGGTTCTAAATGCTTTTTTGAGAATTTTTGTATTTTACTGTTGAAGTCCCTTGATATGTTCACATTATTAGGTCTCTTTTTGGGCTTTCTAGTGAATTCTTGAGTCATTTTAGTTTATTTTTGTTTTAGATCTCTCATGATGTCTCATTTGTTAGGATATTTTAGTAGCTTTGCTCTAGTTCAAACAGGATTTCCTGGCTTCATCTGTTCTGCAACCGATTCAGCAAACAACTGCGGATTGTCTAAAAGCCTAAATACTCAATACCTAACCTCACCTCTTAATTTAAGGAGTTACTTTCACTTTCTCTAAATGTACAACTATTAACCTAATATCGTGTTTACCCTAATTTGGATGTACGCCTTTTTTTTTTACTATTAACACTTAAATCACCATTCGTACTCTACCTTACTTCAAGTTCTACACTCTTTACACATAACCAGTAAAACAACCAAAGTGAAATCCACTTAAATACTTTTGTCTATAACTTATATTATACATAATTTTTATTTGAAGTCATATTCTATTAATTGCTATTAAGAAAATATTTATAGCCGATTTCAGATTAACATTAAAAGGTAAAAAGTGTGTCTTTGTTTTTTGCACTGAAGTTGATATTGAGAACTTTTTAAGGCTAATAAAGGCCTGGTTTTGTCAAACAAACAAATAAGAATCAGTTAGTTCTCGATTTAGATTTTTAGGCTATGATTGTGGAAACAGTCAAGGAATCTGGCTGATGTTAAAGCACTCATTGGGCAAAGTATGTTAAAACTCTAAGTCCAAAAGCTAATTTTTAAAACCATGTTCAAATAGTATGTGAGTAAAATGAGCAGAACAGTGGGCCTGAGTTACTTTGAGTGTCAACCTTCAGTAATAATGAAGATCATAAAACATGAAAGAAGTGGATGGAGAATATGCAAATGTAAATACCATTCATCAACACATCGGGCCTCTTTGGGGTTTGGCCCCTCAGGGGCCGGGCTCTGGATGTTCTCTTCTGCCCTTCTTTGCTGGGTGCGGCCATCCCTATATCTGTCCTCCTTATGTTCCAGTTATCTGGGGTACCTCTGGATAATGGGGCTCGCATTGCCTCTTTTACTTTCCAGGACCCTGTAGGGCGAGTCCGGGGCAGCCCATACCTGCTATAAAGCATATTTTCCTTCTGAAGAAGCTGTGTAAATCCTTTATACACGAGCATGCCCATGCATACAAACCACAGGAGTTAGGTTCCAGGTGTTCACAGATACACACTAATATGAAATACTAAGCTGAAGCTAAAGATATATAGTACCCTGAATAATGTTGTGTAATCACCATAGGTTTTGCCTTCGACACTAAGGGATATATGCAGCTCTTTACGTTTTTTTTTTTTTATGTTTACTTTGGTTGCCTGTTGTCTTCTTTTTACTGTTATTATTCTCTCTATCAGAGATGTCAAGTAACGAAGTAAAAATTATTTGTTACCTTACTTAAGTAGAAATTTTGGGTATCTTTACTTTACAGGACTAATTATTTTATTACTTTAAACCTTTTTATTTCTAATCCTTTATTTTTTGTAATTATCTCTTCTTTCCACTCCTTACATTTTAAAAATAGACTCGTCGGTTTTGTTTCATTCAAGCAAATTTTCAACATGGCCTGTTGGTATTTAAAAAATAAATAAAAACCATCAAAATAATTTGTTTCATCCAGACAATGAATTTCTTTGTGGTTGGACTCGGTACTGCAGCAACCTGTTTTTCACCATTTTTATTTTATTCAGCAATTTTTTTTTTTTTTTTTTACCCATTTTATATAACATTTAGCAGTCTAAAAACTGCTCTGGAATCTGCTGGACCTGCATCGGATGCTTCCAACCCTCTTCCCAGAGGGCAGCAGGGAGAACAGTCCATGGTGGGAGTGTGAGGGGTCATTGATGATGTTACGGGCTCAGGACACGCAGCGCTGGGATGAAATGTCTTTAATGGAGGGAAGAGGAGCCCCTATGATCTTCTCTGCTGTTCGTTCCACTATTCTCACCTTCTTCCAGTCTGAGGCGCTGCAGCCTCCACACCACACAGGGCGACAGCTGGTTAGAATGCTCTCTATGGTGCTTCTGTTGAAGGTGGTAGGGATGGGTGGGGGCAGGTGGGCTCTCCTCATCCTCTGCAAGAAGTCCAAGCGCTTTTGTGCCCTTTTGATCAGTGAGGGGGTGTTTACAGTCCAGGTGAGGGTGTTTGTGATGTGCACCCCCAGGAATTTGGTGCTGCTGACAACCTCTACAGCTGAGCTGTTGATGACCAGTGGAGCGAGGTCAGGCCGGCTCTTCCTGAAGTCCAAGATGATCTCCTCGTTCAGAATCAGGCTGTTATCTTTGCACCAGTCCACCATCTACTCCTCCACCTCTCTGTAGTCGTGGTCGTCTCTGATGAGGCCCACCACCGTGGTGTCATCTGCAAATTTCATGATGTGATTGGTGGTAAACCTGGGGACCCATTCATGTGTTATCAGGGTGAACAGCAGGGGGCTCAGGATGCAGCCCTGAGGGGAGCCTGTGCTAAGGGTGATGACATCAGACGTGTTCAGTACGCCCCGGACAGACTGAGGTCAGTAATAATAGGTCAAGATGAGGCATAGTTAAATTTGACATTGTTGCCATTAGTTATACAACTAAGAAAATTAAGTATACTGTAAGAAAATTACCATCGAGACTTTTTTAAACATTTTCCTTTAATGGGCTAGTGCAGTAAAGCATCTCTCCTTAACATTTTAAAGTACTTTTAAAAATGATACTTTAACACTTTTACTTGAGTCAAAAGTTTAAGGTTGATACTCTAACTTCCAGAAAAGTATTTAGAAACAGTTTGGTTTTTACTTCTACTTGAGTAATAGATATTAATACTTTTGACACTTATGTTCTCTATTTTACTTCCCTTTTATTCTCATCTCATACAAGCATGGAAGCAGACTTCTAGGAGTTGCTGTATATCTTCTGTTTTCTATTTTTGCTATTTTGTTCTTTCTCTCTTTCTTTTCATTTCCTGTCTCTTTTTCTCTCCCTTAGTTATTTTCCCCTCTTTCTTTCTCACCTCCCTTTCCATCTCTGCGTCCGTTGTACATGATTTAACTCCTGAAATAGTTTTCAATAAATTTTCACATAGAACTGTCAAGTGGTGGAACCTTATGGCAAAAGTCATAATGGTCTGCTTGTGAAAACAAATCTGTTGGGCTATCATCTAGCTCTGGGACATCTATTCCCAGGACAATATTGGCAAAACAGGACACAAAAAACAAACAAAAAAACTAATTATGGTTGCAGTTTCCTTTAACATTTTCAAGCTTGATGTTTGGTGCAAACTCCCCTGCAAAGATTTCTGTGGTTATTGTGGCCTCAAAGGAGGCATTGGTACGATGACAAAAACAAGGTTGAAAACTTTCTGAGCGAGGGAACATATTTGAATAGTCAGAAATTAAAACAATAGATTAGTATTAGAGCTTAAATACAAGTTTTGGACAAACATCATAAATAAATGCTGGTGAAAAACCTTCCTGGATGGAAGGACTCTGTTTCCAAAGGACTCCAGTGGATTGTAGTAAAGGGAGATTATAGGCTCGGGGAGTTTCAGGTTTAAGTCGGTGCTCCTGTAAGTGCTTATCCCTTATTTTTCCCTTACAGCGGTGGTCTCAAACTCAACTCCTCAAGAGTTAGTGCTCTGCAGGTGCTAGGTTTGTCTCTGCTTCAACACATCACACTTCAATATCACCTCATTGGCTTTTATTGTCATTACTCTCTGCATTTAACCATGGGCAGCCATTGTGTGGCACCTAGGGAGCAGTGTGCAGCTAAGGGCCTTTTTTGCTCAGGTACCCAGAGGGGCAGTCTGTGGGAGTGGGGCTCGAACTCAGATCCCCAGCATTCCAACCTCTATGCCCTAACCACTAGGCCACCACTCCCTGTATGCAGTGTTGGTATGCATTTCACATCTCTGTTACTACATGTTCTATTCCTGCTGCACTGGCTTCAATGGCACGGTTGCCATCTAGCCTTATAAATAGCCAGTTTTCTTCCAGAGAGCAGGTGTTGAGACAGATCACATCTACATGCAGGGACTGTTACATAACCTCACAAGGGACATCAGTTAAAACCTCTGTGCTATAAAATAATTCACATGGAGTATCAACTTTGTTGCAGTTTGTGACCTTTCTATAGTGTTTGGTGAGTTTAATTGGTAGATAAATCTAAAGTATAGCATCATTTCAAAATGGAAGCAGAAGGATATACAATTAAAAAGAAACTAAAAACTAGGATGCCTAATGTTATTCTAGGACTGCAGCTGTGCACTGGATTTATTTTTTGGTGTGAAGAATGAATATAAATACTTGTGGCAAGATTTTTGTCTCAAAAAAAGAAAAAATTACATCCCCTCATCGCTTGATTTTAGCTCACACCACAAACCACTTTTGATTTTTTTTTCTTTTTACATATAACTTTGATAAAATAGCATCACATTTTGTGGCTGTAACCTGAAAAAAGGGCTATGAATCCTTTAGCCACGCTCCCTCTGTAAGTGAGAGTAGGTGTGTATTTCATTTCCTTTGCTACATGGTCTATTTTATCTGCATTGGCCTCCCTGACACATTTGCCATCTGGCCTTATATATAACCATTTTTTTTCCGAGAGAGCAGCTGTTGGGATAGACCACATCTATACGCTACTGATGAGGAACTGTTGCATAACCTTTTTAGGACAAAATCCATAAATTTTAGATTTTAATCGCTTTTTACATCAATAAATATAAAGCTCACAAAGGTTTTATTATAATTTTTAATAAATACTGTACAGTAATAATTATAAACCATTATAAACAACATTGTTCATGAGTTTCCTTTAGAACTGAAGTAATCTAAACTAGAAAAGCACTCTCAGAGTGCAGAACTCCAACAAGCAGAACATTTTGCCCCATATTGTGACTTGCACTAATAGCTAAAAATTGCACGATCTGGATCATTACTGAATTCTAATGAATTGTTCCTTGGCATGAGGTGCCCCTTAAATAATAATTTCCTTAAAATCCTTTTATAAGTTTATAAATAAGGCACAGCATGTGTCTGCAGCCTCTGGTGTTTGTTCTGCTCTCACCTTCTTTATTCACTCTGCACTCTGATTTCTTGTTCGACTAGCAGATTGAGAATTTGTTTTTGTATTCAGTATACTTCTGAGGCCCATTTCACAAAGGAGGTTTAAAGGAAAAGTCCGGTCAGCAAGGAATGATCATTGGATCATTATCTATACATAATACCTTTGCGGTGATTTAATGAATTTAGTGTTAATCAGTAACAAAATAAAAATTTTCGTCGCATCACTGAGTCTGGGACCGGCCATTTTTGCCCAAATATAGTAACACCTCACTCAGTGCAGTAAGCCTAGCACCATTCTCCCCGCTTTACAAGCAAAATCAATGGGATCTACTAGACACATCTGCAATCAACAACAATTAGGACTTCACCATTGAAATTCATGAGAGCCATAGTTAAACTGACAATGCCCATGTGGTAGTTGGAAGCTGTAACATATCGGGCAAAAGAGAAAAAAAAAATGTTATTTCACCTTCCGATTCATGATCCACCATGGGTTGGTCGTTGGATCGCCAACTTAAAGAGGGAGGATTTATCATCGAACTTCTGGCCAGAGAAAAAACATGCAATATGTAGCCAACATTTCGAAGAAGAATGTTTTCAAGATGACTTGGATAATAGTGCGTTGTGACTAACACCAGATTAAGCATTGAGACTTGCTCAAGAGCTGATACCGCACTGTGACATCACAAACCGGTAGGTGCCAGTAGTGTTATTTGACAAACATGTCTCTGGTAAATCACATTGAAATGAAAATTACTCTTAATTAAAAACACTTATCATTTATTAAACAGTACGTAATAATTTCTTGAATAAAGTACTTTGAGAAGTTTGTATTCTGAATATAACCAGACTTTTCTTTTAACAAAGTCAGCTTAAATACTCAACTCTGAATTGATCTCACCTGAGGTTCGAAACTGTGACCTTTTAATTTCACAAAGGCTGCTATGAGTTATTTCAATCAACTTTTTAGTAGGTTCACGCAGAGTTGAACACTTGCGTAACAACTATGAAAAG